GACAAATGCTATGAAATGCTGCCCATCTTTCAAAAAGCTTTGAAAGTCCAAAGCTTACATTTGCTCCGGTGTACACTTAGTTATCTTTCCTTCAGTTAAAAACCAAGTTAAAAAAAAAAAAATTAATGTTGTGTAATGACATTTTTCAGCATTCTATAAACCTACCCTTCATGAATCTACAGCTAGACTATAAAAATCTGAGTTTAAGGATGAACACACATTATCCAAACAAAGAACAGAGATTTCTCCCCTTGTTTAGTTTATTCACTGCTATAAAATTTAGAGTACTGTAATGCATCCAGGAAAAAAAAAAAAAAGTCTGTTTTCCTCCTCAAAGTCATCTGTGCCTGCGAGAGCCAGAAGTTGACTCTTCCATTTTTACAGCCCTTCTGTCAATACCGCACACTACAGATGCGACCGTTTCTCTCCAAAAAGAAGTGAATGGAATTATGTCATAAGCCTATCAACTCTGTTTTCCAGAGGGGCAATAAGAATGACATAAGGCAGACATCCAGGTGTGGCGAGTGTTTTCTGAGCTTGCCTGGGGGACCTGATTCCAGGCTCAATTAGGTTTGTCAATTAGGCTTGTTTTGCAGTGGTGTAATAGCACTCCTTGCAGGTCACTTGTTTGACACTCCGGAAATATATTCAGAAACAGATCCCTATGGAAAGCAGCCTGGACATGAAATTGAGCTTTGGGTATGGAAGGATATTCACAAAGTTAGCAAGTCAAACATATGTGTTTACTATAGTTTTCCCAGAGTTTCACTAATGAAATAATCTTTTCAGTGAAGCAGAGAACTTCATGTTCACACAAATCTTTTAAGGATATTGAGATACCACATTAAAGAGCATCACAGAGAAAAGTAATGGTGTAGAACTCAAGAAATGAAATATGTCTTAAAACCTAACTTTTCCAGTAGTCTGATTTACCCTGTAAGTGAATTCACAGCAGGATGGAGGCCATTTGGGACAGACCATTTAAAAAAGCCTGTTTCTGTTTCAGCTGCCTACACTGTGTGTTTGCCACATGAACAGCCACAGTTCTGTCAGTTTGGCAGCTGACACTGGAGGTACAATCTCTATATTAGTATGAACTGCTCGAGATATCATTCTGAATTTATGGCATGACTGAAAAAAAAAAAAAAAAAAAGATGAAAGATCTCCACCATATAAATGATGCAGCAGATTCAAGCGTATAACAAGAGGTTTCAAGAAATTTTGCATTACCAGGCTGCATATTAGCACACTTACAGCTGAAAACATGCATTTCAGTATTAAAACACCATCCAAATTACCTACTGTAAGAACAGCTTTCAATGATACTTTTCTTGGGAAGTTTCCTCAATGCAAAACAATTTCTGGTGCAAAGACAACCAAGGCCCATGACACAGAAAACCAACAGATAAAGGAATTCACATCTGAGCCTATTCCTCAAACCTTTGTAGTTTCTTCCAAAGTGAAACATCTCCAAGAAGAAATGTTAAAGGAGTAACAGACCTTGGTGATGCAGGTATACACCAAAGCTAAACCTTGTTTCCTAATTTCTCACAAGTCAACAAAAGTATTTTAATTGGGTGATCACACCAGAATATCACTCATTCATTCTCTGTTGTTTTCTTTTTCTTTTTTAAAGATGCAAAATAAAAGCATTTTAAGAACTTTAATACCAGCTAAGAGCAGGCTATAAGTAATAGAGGATGAGAAACCCTTTTCCTACCCATCTCACTCCATACATTTCTCAATCAATATTCTTAATACATTATAGGCTGTGGTAAGGGCAGAAGAAGTAAAATCTCAGGAATCCAGAGATAAACATAGGTGATGCTGGAATTTGAGAAGCTTGACATTGCCTATTTAAATCTAACTAAACATTATAATTTCTGGAGTTGTACTTGCTGTATGTATGTGTGTATATATATATGATCTATATTGCTAGGTTCTTTTAAGCCTGACACTGAGATGAGCATGGCATTCTCAGTTTCACATCTTCCAGCAAATTAGATCTTGAAAGATAAACTAAGAATGCCTTACACTTGAACTTCACCATGGTAAACACTGAGGGCAACATCCTGCAGAGAGACACGAGGAAATATCTGAGACATCAGAAGCACTGAAACCACATTACATCACATCCCGCTGTTAGAGAATGCCAGGAGACTTGTTAGAAGGAGAAGTAGCGTGACCCAAAATTCATCCCTGGGTTAAAGGACTGCAGAAAAACACACAGGAAGCCACACAGCTCATCAAGTTAATCTCCTCAGTGTCGACAGCTTCCTTACCTCCGCTCCTCCTAAGCAGCACCACAACAGTACTTCCCCAGGCAATTCTTCCTCAGCCCCCTGCTCCCAGGGCTCTCAAGGTGCTGGCTTCACTGCTGACACTCAAGCGTGGGTTTATTGCAAAACAGCTGCTGTTTTTTTGCTGTTTTTTTTTTTTTTCTAATGCAGCTGAGAACATCAGTTCCAGAAAAAAAAAAAAAAAAAAACTCTTAACCCTACTGTGCATCCATCAGACTCCTGTTATCTAAGGATTTCAGTTTTCATCAAGCTGGAAGCATAGTAAGATAATGTACTTGTAAGCCTCTATAGCATTCTGCATTACACTCTGCTGCTGGGGGATTTAACTTGCAGAAAGCAGTACCTAAGCTGGCTAGCCAAAATGAGCCTTTTTCCACTAAGTGTTAAAATGCACACCGAATACTGAGAAACAATTACAAAACATACTTATAAATAACGTGTTAGAGACTGCCACTTTCCATTTCTGCTAAGTTCCTCCAGCTCTTCCACAAAAGGAAAAAACAGAGAAAAGAGGAGCCTAACAAAAGAAGCCTGATCAAGAGAGCTGGGACTACATCTAGGAATAATTACCTATATGGGATTACAGTTGATGTAGACCTGAGGCCTTCTGTGCTGTGCTCAATGCTGCAAAATCGTAAACATTAACTTGTGTGGTTTGAAGAATAAGAACTAAGCAGCAAATGCCACTGAGTGGAGAAAATCAGAATGCAAATAACTTCTAAAATAAAGGCAAGTCTAACTTGCATCAGCGTATTGGGGGCCTCAGTTGTGGCTGGTTTCAAAGGAACTTATTTACTTACAAACTACGGTAGGTCAAATTATTCCAGCAGGTCTGTAAAATCTGCGTGGAACGATTTGGAGTTTTTAAATTACTTTGTAAAATCTTGACTTTGGGTGTTTCTCCCCTTGTGCCAAGTTGCTGAACTTCACTTCTAGCTGAGGCCTCACTGCTGTCAACATGAACAGTTCAAAAAGAGCAACGTGAGTGACTTTCTGGCAGCCCTGCACCCATGCCAGAGGGTCAGATCAGACCAGGTTATGCTCCTAACAGAGGCTGAGCTCCACAGCTCTCATCATCTTTGATGGGGATTGCAAGAATCAGGAATTCACAGACTATGGCTAACGCGCCTCCAGGGAAGACTTTAGCAGGAAAAATCTTTGGGAAATGCTCTTGGAGAATCGATTTCATCAATAAGCTATCTCATCTTTATTAAAACGATCGGTCCGTGGCACAAATGTAACATGCAGCACTGAGTGATGTACATTTTCATCCCTGAAGAACAACCACATCCTAAATATACACCTATATATATATGGATAGGCTGTTCACTAAATATAGAACCTCACAGCAATTGCTTTTAAGACCAATGGGAATGGTATCCAGCATGGTGGACCCAACTGTGGTAATACTCAAGCACATCATGAAGCAGCAGCAAGCACTTTCATGAAATACTTCAATGGGCCAAACTTTCCAAACACGTGCCTTTTTCTCTAAACAAAGCAGCGATGGCAGGGAATTGGCAACACTAATTGTGCTCCACAGATTCTTACCATCATCTTTCTCTCACGCATAAGCACAAAATGCTGTTGCACACTGCAATTTCTAATTACTTCCATTATGCAGCAAGAAGTACAAAAAAAAAAAAAGAACCACCCCTGCAGGTAGAACAAACACACTTCTCCTTAAGTAAAATGATGCCCACGAATCTTCCTGGAGAACCAGAGACCAGGAAAGGAAAAAAAAAAAAAAAAAAAAGAGCTTAATTATAACCAGCTATGCTTGTTTGTGAGCGCTAATTGGAAGAAAACAACGTTTTGTTTGCAGTTGCTTCTACTTCTTTTGAACTGGGGCATTCCTCAGCTGCAGGCACGGAAGACCCAACAATTCACACTTTCAGACAAACTATTTTTGCGATTAGGAAAACACAACGTCTGCATAGTTGGCATATACGTTCACCACATTCTCCTCAACAAATGAAACAAAACCACACAGACACGGCGCACGCAACCTTTGGCTGAACCAGTCTTCAGCATACAAAGTAACTAATTAATGCAAAGGAGATCGCTGGAAAACTTCGGCGCTTATTCAACAATGGAGCCTGGGGGGAGCGGACGACCACCGCGTTTTGAGAGAACGTATCGACGAGAAGCGGTTCGTAAGGTCAGCGAGAAGGACCAAGCACCATACCTGGCAGAAAGGAAGCTGACGTCTTAAACCAGCACACGTTCATCACAGGACCCCCCGGCAGCGCACGGAGCGCGGACGCTCCTTCGCTCTCCCACCGGTGCGCACGGACGGGGCTACGCACCCCGCGCCCCGCCCGACCCCGATGTCAATATTCATCACGGAGCGGCCGGCGACCAGAGACCGCCCCGTGCCCGCCCCCACGAGCGGAGAGCCGGGCCGGGACCGACAGGTTGCGGTGCGGGAGAGCGACGAGGGGTGGCAACGGGCGGAGCGGTCTGTCGCCCTTCGGGTGCCCGGCCGCGCTCGGTGCGATGCGATGCCCGCGAGCTTCCGAGCCCCGCCGAGCGCCCCGCGTAACTTCCGCGTGCCCGGCCGGCAACGCAGGTCCCGGCCCGCCCGCTCCCCCGGGGAGGAGCAGGTGAGGCCCCTCGGCGGGCGGAGGAGTGAAGCCGGGATAAAGTCACCATCTGGGGAGGGGGTGGGGAGCAGCGCCGGGCGGGGAAGTCACTTACCGGCTTTGCAGGGATCCTTATAATCTATCGCCTCGGCTTTATCCTCTTCGGTGAAATCGTAAGTGTAGTCATAATCGAGGGCAGAGCAGGAGGACGGCTTCCCACAGACAGCCCAGGCGGCCAGCCACAGCGCCAGCCGCCAGCAGAGCATTTTCATCCTCCCTCGGGCGGAGAGGCGGTGCGCGGAGCGCAGCGGAGTTAGGCGGGCGGCACCGCCGGCTTGAGAAAGGAGGGTAAGGGATGGAGGAACCGCAAGTTTGGAGTTGACTGGGGCTCCGTTTGTTTGTTTGTTTGTTTGTTTCAGCACCTAGAGCCGCCGCTCCCCTAGGTAGCCCCAAGGCAGCATGGGCTCCGCCGCCCCTCCTGCCCGCACCCCGCCGGGCGTGTGGGTGGCTGGGCGCGGGGATGGGCTCAGGCCGAGAGGTGCCGGTTCTCGGGGCGTCCCTCCGCCTCCGGCGCAGCCCGGGCAAACTTCCCGCCCCGGCGGCGGTCGCTGCCCGCGCCCCGCTCCGCACCCGGTCCGCGCCCCGCCGCGCCGCCGCCCCCGGTCCCGCTGTTGCCGCCGCCGCCGCTACTGCTGCTGCTGCCGGAAGATGGATCCGGGCTGTACATCAGCGAACTGCCGCGGGGAAGAGGGAAGGAGAGAAAAGAAAGAAGGACGGACGGGAAGAAAAGGGAGCGGGGGTGGGGGGGGTCTGCTCCGGCAAAGCGCGCAGCCCGAGCGATGGGAGGCGGCAGAGCCAAGTGTCAGGGCCTCCCCCGCCGCGCTCCTACTCTGCGATCTGTCTCTGGTCTAACTCCCCCCCCACCCCCCCTCCTCCGTCCCCCTTTAACTTACGACAACCTTACAGGCAACTAACGCACATCGTCAGCATCCTGCTTACTTATTCATACAGGCAGGGTCAGGATCCGGGCTGCTGCCGATCCGCTCCCCCGATAGTCCTGCAGCAACACGCGCGTTCACCGGCCGCCCCTATCTCCGGAGTGCTCTCTCTCTAGATAAGCGGTGCGCGGCATTTAGACAACAACAAAAGAAGCCAGATCAAATCAAACAACGCGCGGCTCGGCTCCCGGCAGCCAAAAAGCCGGAGGACAGAGAGAACGAGGTGATGGAGGAGGAGGAGGAGAGGGATCAGCTGCGATGAAGGGGACGGGGAAGCAGCGCGGTACTGGTTTGCTGCTCCCCGTGCCGGCGGCTCCGCAGCGTGAGCCCCATGGGCGGGCGGGGGGTAAAGAAGCGAGGGGGAGGGGGAGAGAGAAAAGTTTAAGCGCCCATAGTTTGCTTAAAACAGAGGAAAGCGATTTAAAGGTCCATCTCTCTGCAGAAGTTCAGCCAAGCAGCTGGGAACCGGCTCCAAAATGAAAGTAGGACCAAACAAACAAACAAGCAGAAGGAAGAAAAAGGGGGAAAAAAAAAAAAAAAAAAAATCGAGGCAAAAAAAAAAAAAAAGTTAATCTGAAATCTCTCAGCCGGGTTTTCCTGTCCTCACGTGGATCTCCGGGAAAGCGGTGGAGGTTTCTCTCCCGAGCGAAGTTTCCGCGCAGCTCCGCACCGTCCCGCTGAGCGCCCCGAGCCGTGCGGGGCCGGCGCCGCTTTAAAGCCCGAGGAGGGATCAGCGCGCAAAGCCGCCTTCAGCCGATCAACCTGGGGAGGGAGGGAGCAAGGGAGGGAGCGAGGGGGAGGGCGGAGGGTGGAGATACGCTGCTGCTGCTGCTGGAATAAAATAAGATCGAGCGAGAAAAAAAAAAAAAAAACAAAGTGCGTGTGGTAGCTAAAGAGCTCCCTGCCTCCTCCCCTCCCCCGAGATGGGCAGCTCCGGTCCTGCAGAACCGCCTGAAACGGTTTCAGACCAAGGTGAGACTTTTGCGTAGCAAACTCTACTCCTCCTCCCCCTTTTTACGAGTTTCCATGGAAAAGAGCGGGGTCAGTGGTGGGGGGGGTTGAGGGGAGTTCCTGCGGCTCCCACTCCGCCGGGGTGTCACATTTAGCACGGGCTTTTGAAAAGGCTGCCGCGAAGCAGTGCCTGCTCCTCTTCCCGCAAGTACCGCTTCCCGATCGCCTTTTCCCTGTCGCAGGGGTGGAAATCCAGAGGTCGTTCCTTCCCCCGGGCTGTGCCAGGAGAGTCGCTTCGGGAGCAGCCCCCTCCCCTCGACGGGGAGCTCGTGGCAGAGTGCTGTCACCTCTCGGTGGGCTGAGCTGCTGCGAAGGAAAAAGGGTTTTAGGGGAACAGACTGGAAGGAACGGTCCTTGAAAGCAGCCCTGTGGAGAAGGACCGGGGGGTCTTGATAGATGAAAAGCTTAACGTGGGCCAGGAGTGTGCTCTTGCAGCTCAGAAAGCAAATGGTATCCTGGGCTCCATCAGAAGAGGAGTGGCCAGCAGGGACAAGGGGGTGATTGTCCCCCTCTACTCTGCTCTTGTGAGGCCCCATCTGGAATATTGGGTCCAGGTACAAGAAAGACAGCTGTTGGAAAGGGTCCAGAGCAGAGCCACAAAAAGATGGGTAGGGGGCTGGAGCACCTCCCCTACAAAGACAGGCTAAGGGAGCTGGGCTTGTTCAGCCTGGAGAAAAGAAGGCTGTAGGGTGACCTCATTGCAGCCTTTCAGTACCTAAAGGGAGCCTACAAACAGGAGGGGAATCAACTCTTTGAAAGCGTTGATAACTGCAGGACAAGCGGAAATGGTTTGAAGTTGAGGGAAGATTTAGGTTGGATGTCAGGGGGAAGTTCTTTACTGTGAGAGTGGTGAGGTGCTGGAACAGCTGCCCAGAGAGGCTGTGGATGCCCCATCCATCCCTGGAGGTGTTCAAGGCCAGGTTGGATGGGGCCCTGGGCAGCCTGGTCTGGTATTAAATGGGGAGGTTGGTGGCCCTGCATGTGGCAGGGGGGTTGGAGATTCATGATGCTAGAGGTCCCTTCCAACCCGGGCCATTCTGTAATTCTGGGAAGGGAAGATCCCTTTTTCTACTCTGCCATCCCACAGGGCTGCCTGGCTGTAGGTAGATGCTGCCACAGCCGTTGGTGCACTGAAAGGGGTGGCTGAGACAGAACCAATCACAACTCAATAACAGAGCGTGATGAAGAGTAGCATCAAGTATGGACAATGTATGTAAAACATCCATGCACTGTGCTTCCTTACATTTTGGCATCCAGGCTGCGCCCAAGCCCATCACATTGATACAGAGCAAAAAGCCAAAGGCCAAGTGGCTGCCACCAACAGCACGGCCACTGCCTTCAACATCTCATCTCCCAGCAAAGTGAGTACAAGGCTCTGTGCAGCAGGAGATGAGCTCCTGCAGCAAGGTGTGTGCTGGTGTCCCCCACCCCAATCTCCAGCACTTCAGAGCCACCAGGAGCATGGGGACAGCTGCCACCACCCAGCCCTGACTCGGGGAAAAGACAACTTCAGAACTACAGATGGGAATCACACACAGATCTGCACATATTTGAGCTATAACAAATCAGTGTGAGTACAGGTCGGGCTAAAAGCTGGTTTCTGCCCTGAATTCAGAGCAGCTACAGCTTCAAACTGCTGTTTAAAATAACCATTGTGTCTCTGCAGAAACTATCCTACATTGCTTAGGTATTAATACTCCCACTGGTCACATTTCCCCATATTATTTTTTTTTTTCCCAGTAACAAAACTAGTTGACATCTTTCAAAAACCAAACTTTTTCCTTAAGTAACCCGTTAAATATTCCATCTAGCTTTTTTTCATCATGCAACATTTTGAAACGGTTTAAGTACAAAATTTTTTTTGTTTTTTTTTTCTTCTCACACGTTCATGTCTACCATTCCAAAAAGCTCACAACTCTGATAATCCATCTGACAACACAGTCAATCAAAAATCCATCCTACAGCCGTTTCCAAAGAAACGAACACGCGGACAGAAAGCCAGAATGCTGAGCTGGAATGCAACCAACCAAAGGAACACAACAGCAACAACAAGGACTCTGAGCATCTTCCCTACTCCCTTAGGTTTCCTGGTTAGGAGAATATCACAGGGACACAGATAACGGTAAATGAAGTTGTGTGATGAGTGGCATGGATATTTTATTTTGGATCCTGAAAGCTGGAGGCTTTTCTGCTCTTCCCACACAAACAAAGATTTTTTTAAAAAGGACAAATCTGCAAGAAAGATAGACAAAACCACAGACCTAAGAAAAAAAAAATAAATCCACATTTGAAACACGGTTGCTCACACCTCCTCCTCATTCTTTGGCTATCTGTCTCCTCTTTAGGCCTTGATCCCGTAGACAGTCTGAGGTGGGTGGACACAATAGGCTTATTCACAAGCATTGAGCTCAGCACATGCTGACGGCTGTGAAGGCTGGAGACCATTTCTGTTCTGCTCCTGGGGCCTGCAGCACTGCTCCAGAGGCTGAGGTGGAGAAGCTCAGAGGGAGCTCGTTACCTTCCTGCTTTTATCTCCTGATAAGCCCATTGCTTTTCCCAACAGTACCAGTAACACAGACAAAGCTATGCTGAAGGAGTCCCCAGTTCTCCAAATTATTCATTAGGGAAGGTATATCCACCGAGTAAATAATATAAACTAAAACCAAACTTTTGAGGTTAAAAAGCAAGCAGTCATTATCTCAGCAGCAGCAAGCTCACCTGTGAAATCTATTTTCACCATTCTCTCTCATATCTACTTCTGTATTATGAAACAGCTTTTCACTGTATATCCATATACAACTTTTTTTCTACTGAATTATCAAGAAGCCCTTCAGTGTTATGTTTTCTGTTGCTTTGTTTTTCTGAAAGCACGGCCAACGCTTTGTTCACCCCAGTTCTTCAGATCCTACTCTGCACACAGAGTTATTAAGTCTCCTCACCACTGCATTTCAGTGACAGAGGAGTGACAAAGAACCTTGGGTTCAGTCCCAAGATCCGTGAGAGGGCACTTTTTAATAGCACACTCCCATCTGCTTGTTCCCTGTGTCCCTGTTTTGCCTTATCTTCGTTTGTTATTTCTAACCTGTATTCATTCTCTCCTCACTCTTGGCTCTTCATCCCAGTGTTGTTTTTCTTATCTCGCTATTGCTAGCGTCTGATTCTCATCACTGTTCCAACTGTCCTAGTTGCACTCTTCTTTAATCTTATTCTGGAACTCCTCACTCTCTGAGATGCACATTCAGCTGTGCAATTTTTTGTTTGTTTCTTTTCACT